TTGGGTGGTGCAAATGGTTAACACAGTCGGCTGCTAACTAGAAGTTTGGAGGTTTGAGTCCACCTGGAGACACCTTGTTAGAAAGGCCTGGCGATCTACTTCTGAAAAATCAGCTCTTGAAAATCTTATGGAGCCCAGTTCTACCCTGATACATGTGGGTCACCATGAGTCGAATTTGACTCAGTGGTAACTGAGTATCAGAACGGGGCACATTGGGCAGAATGTATGTGAGATATGATCAAGCCCCACCGCAAGGGAAAGCTTGGGTTTCTTGGTGCTGGAACTCCCAGACCAGCTGTGGTGGGAGGTGAGGATCGTCTCTTTCCCTTCAGGATGAGGTGCTACTGATCCAGGAGGCCAAGCGAGAGTGCCATGGGTCCTGGTACCTACCTGCGGGCAGAATGGAGCCTGGGGAGACCATTGTGGAGGCACTGCAGCGTGAGGTGAAGGAGGAGGCGGGGCTGCAGTGTGAGCCTCTGACGCTGCTGTCTGTGGAGGAACGTGGCCCCTCCTGGGTCCGCTTTGTGTTCCTTGCTCACTCCACAGGTATGTCCTGCCTGCTGTCACGTGAGCAGGGAGCAGTTGACACCTTTTCCCCCGATTTGTCTTAAGGTGAGATGAGCCCCTCTACAGCCAGCCCTATTCTGGCTGGTACAAGGCTGAGATTGTCAGATTCCAGCCTGAGAACTCTGGGCCTCCTCCCGGGGTCAGGGCTAGAGTGCCTGGGTGTCTATTTTCCTCTGCTAGAATTGGCACTTCTTTTGGCCATCATGTCTCCCAAATCCTTAGGTGGAATTCTCAAGACTTCCAAGGATGCAGATGCCGAGTCCCTGCAGGCTGGCTGGTACCCACGAACCGCTCTGCCCACTCCATTGCGAGCCCATGACATTTTGCACCTGATAGAGCTAGCTGCCCAGTATCGCCAGCAAGCAAGACACCCTCTAATTCTACCCCAAGAACTTCCTTGCAGTCTGGTCTGCCAGCGGCTTGTGGCCACCTTTACCAGTGTTGGGACAGTGTGGGTGTTGGTGGGCACCACGGGGACGCCTCATTTACCCATCACTGCCTGTGGTTTCACCCCCATGGAGCAGAGGGGTGGCATGAAGGTGGCTATCCTGCGGCTGTTACAGGAGTGCCTGACCCTGCAGCATTTGGCAGTAGAGACCAAGGGTTTACTTGGACTGCAGCATCTGGGCAAAGACCATATAGATGGCATCTGCCTGAATTTGCTGGTGACAGTGGCTTTCCGGAACCCAGGTATCCAGAATGAGCCCCCGAAGATTCGAGGTGAGAACTTCGTTTGGTGGAAGGTGATAGAAGACGACCTACAAAGCCAGCTCTTACAGAGGCTTCAGGAATCATCTGTCATCCCAGTCAACAGATAGGAAGGGGCCAGGAGTGGGCAAGAAACAGGGCCCCTGTGCTCTCCTCCACCGTGGCTTCACCTCTCCTCTGAGGGAGGCAGGAAGTTGGAGATCAGGAATCCTGTTGCATTGGGAGCAGGGGCAGTTTCCCTGGTTCTCTGGGGATTTCTATCTCCCTGCCTGTGGAACAGGTCCTTATGTCATACCCACCAAGAAGGACAGTGCCTTTAACCATAAGGGGATGTGGGAACTTCCTGAATCTGAGATGACAGAGTCACTATTTCCCATACCCACCTCTGTAAAAGCCTACATCTGAATCCTTTCTGGCACTTACAACATGGAAGGGGCATGTGGGGAGCAGGCCCCTTGCTGAAGTAAATAGATGTTCCTTACTTTACTTTCCCTGCCTGAATGTCTCTGTGGGGAAGAAGTGAGCAGGAAGGGACTGCTGCCAAAAGAAAGCTGCTTCCTTTGTTCCACCAAAGGCCATTTCGGCCTTTACCAGACAGCACTGGCACTGGACGGGCCAGCCTGCTGGACAGGTGGGTTGCTGGGGCAGGTAGGCTTCCTGTACTCCACTAGGGCAAGGCCTTAGATGTAAGCAACCCCATTGGAGCTTTCTTCATCCAGCTGGCCAGAGAGGGATATGATTGAAGAGACCACATCCTATTAAAACACACTAATCCCTTTAAGGTTGACTATGAGAACGCCAGGAGAAGCTTCAGGTGGGAGTCAGTCGTAAATGCTGCCCCTGCCTCTCTACTCAAGTTTCTTTCTCACTAAATTTCTCTGGCTCTGTTTCCTCCCCCATCACTCTGGCAGCCCCTTTTTACAGCCTTATCCCAAGCCAGACCCAATCCCTTTCTCCATTTCCCCTCAGCCCTAGCTGAATCATGGTAGGATTTTTTATTTTTTTAAGAACTTTACTAAAATTTAAGGGCAAGCCAAAGGAAATGAACAAATAGTGTGCTCATCACTGTATATAATGTATAGGTTTCTGATTCTATGCAGGGAAAACTTGAGTGGACTTCCCTTCTCCCAAGGTGACTGTACTATACCCTGAAGGACCAAGATAACCTCAAAGGCCCCTTCCAGCCCTGTCCCCGGCCTAGCAGGAGGCCTCCAGCAGCTGCTACCTTAACTTTCTGGCTTCTGGAGCTGTTCTAGGAATCCTCCTTGTCCTCTCTGAAGACAAACATCTTCCAAAAGATGGACCCATACCCTTTTTTCCTGGTCCACTTCTCTCACTGTTCCCTCTGAGGGACCACCAGGCTATATCCACTTAGAAGGGCCATAGTTTTCAACCTTGGGTATAAATTAGAGTCACCTGGGGAGCTTTTACAACTACTCTGGGTATCACCCCTAGAGATCCTGATTTCCCTGAGGGAGGGAGGGGCCTGGGCTTTGGCAATTTAAAAAGCAACCCAGGTGATTCAAACATGCAAAACACCAAGTTGAGAGCCACTGATCAACCCTCTTGACAAGTTGTCAGCTTTGTCTTACCCTGAAGCACTGTTGGTGAGCTCCTCAGGGGGTTGCTTCCTCCTCCCACCCATATTTAGGGACCAAAAAACCAAACCCTCTGCCACTGAGTCATTTCTGACTCATAGCGACCCCTGTTGGGTTTCCAAGGCTGTAAATCTTTACGGAAGTAGACTGCCTCATCTTCCTCCCAAGGAGCAGCTGGTGGGTTTGAACTGCTGACCTGGTTTGCAGCCAAATGCTTTACCCACTATACCACCAGAACTCAACATTTTAAAAATATCCAGCCTACTGTTTAAGACCAAAACAGTCATACACTATACAACATAAAATACACAAAAATGAGAACCAGATGCAGATGCTGACAGTTCATTGCCTCATGGTGTCTGTCTTTAAGGCTTGCAGGCTCCTTAGTTGTAGGTGAGCTGAGCAGAAATCATGTTGCTTGGCCAATAAAGAATCTGATTCCTGGCAGGAGCCAAGGAACATCAGATTTGCACTGCCAGAGCCTGTCTGTTTACCACCCCACCGCACACCATCCTCACCAGCCAGTGCTGGAAAAGGAATTTAATTTGCCTTCGTTGGGGAGGAAAATGAGTCTGAATTAGCAGTGGATCCCTGGGTAGAGGGACACAAAGGGAGAACAGAGCCACTGTGTCCACGCAACCACACCGTTTATTGCTGTGCTGTCTCAGGGAAGACACCATGCAAATGCCAAAGTGCACTAAGAGTGGCAGGCCTATGATTCCCAGACCTTGAATCTTCAGAGTCCAGACACAGTTCATCCACTGAGATCTGCTCCCCCATCCCGTACCCACACCAACAAGTGCGCATGTATACGTGTGCACACACAAGCATGGCATTCTTGGGAGCAGCAGCTAAGTTCTCCCGGGCTTGGAGGAATGCGGGAGAGGTAGAGGTCATTGAGTTTCCTCCTCTTTCATGTCACCTCTTGGCAATCTGCACCCTGCTTCTAGAAGCGGTATGGGCAGGAAAAGGAAGCAAAAGGGGCTCTGGCCTGCTCCTCCTTGCCCAGGAGCAAAGCCAGCAACTGCAGTCCTGCTGTGAGGTAATGCCTGGCGCCGCCTGTGTGTTCTGCAGGTCGAGACAGATTCGGGCCGGGTGGGGTGGCAGCCCCAGCCGTGGAGGGCATGCAGGGAGAACACCACCAGAACTGGCTGCTTATGCCTCAGCCCCTCCCTGTCAGGCCTTGGGGACCACCGCTCGGGTGGGATACTGGGCTCACTCACCCTGAGCTCCCTAGAAGGGCATTCTGTTGAGAATACTGGGGGCTGGGCAGAATGCTAAGGGCCAGGTCTGGCCTCCTGGGTCTCTGTGCCTCTGTGCCCAGGTGTTATGGACCTGCTGAGACGGGTTCAGAGGCGCCAGAGAGAAACCAGCTGGAGCTGTAGCCTGGCACCCAGTTCCCCATCTCCCCAGGCCCTCTCCCGCCCTGGCTGTAGTTGCATCAAGGTTCTCATTAGCAGCTGCCCCCGCCTGGGCGCGGAGCGTGCTTTGGGCATTTGCCATGAGGTGGTTGGGAATTTTGCAATCATCTCCAGGAGAGCAGACAGAGGGGGCTTCCCCTGCTTGCTCCTTCACTGTCCTTTCCCTGTGGGTCCAGCCAAGAAGGCAGGGAAAATGGCAAGTCTCACCAGCTCCTGTGGTACCTAATGTGACAGAGAAAGGGCTCCCGTGTCCTGTCTGTGGCTTAGGTTCCTAAGCAGCCTCTGGAACCATCTGCTCACACCCCCTCTGGCCCCTGGAATTGAGCCACGGGTCTTGGCCCTGGCCAGAAGGGTGATAGGTCCAGAAAACATAAGGTCTGGGGTCCAGGTGCTCATCTGACCATCACCCAGCTCCTCCAAGAAAGCCCCAAGGACACCATGCTCCTGGGAAGCTATCTCTTTAGCTCCTGTGGCATCTGGTGCCTCTGCAGGCCACTCCCTGAAACCCAGTCTGGTCTGGTTAACAAGCCGAGGTCATCTTAGTTAACCTGGGAGCCAAGGCAGAGGCAGCTGGGATACAGAGGAGGCGAGCCCAGCCCCACTTCCCAGGAGAGTGGTGGCAGGAATGCCAGGCGACAGGCAGCTGTTGGGCAGAGGTGCGGACAGGAGTCTCCCCACCCGTCATCCTCATGGCTCAGACATGCCCTTACGGGGGTGGGGAGAGGTTCAGGTGAGGACCATGTGGGGGAAACTTGACGAAAGCAATGGCAGCCAGCTCCTTGCAGAATTCCTCAAGTACTACTACACCCTGAAGGAGGGTCTGATGGTCCAGCCTGGAGGGAGACAGCATGGGGATCAAGGTGGGTATGTGCCCAGAGTTACATCCCAGTGTCCATAAGGCATAACCAAAGGTGGAAGACAGAGCTCAGCAACAGGCCCTCATATGCTTTCCAGGTCTAGTGCCTCTCCCAACTTAAAAAACATTCCACCTTCCACCCCCAAGGCATTTCCTTGGGCACTCATTTCCTTTGGATACTTACTGTTCCCCAGGAACCTGGCCCATTAGCTGCTTTCGTACCAGGAGCAGTTTGCCTGGGAACTGGGGTACCCTCTGAACTCTCTGCATCAAGTCTCCAATCACCTAGAGTGAGAACAAGGGAAGATTGAGACGGGGAACTGGGGCCACAGAGGTGCCAGAAATAGTCTAGCAGGGTCCCCTGGCTCTGCTGTGTCATGGGTGTGTGTGTGTGTGTGTGTGTGTGTATGTATTTGGGCTTTCCCCTGTGTCCACTCCTCCAGCCCCAACCACCCTGTCCTGGGCACCTTCAGTGCAGTCTGCCTTTTGATTATTCCCCTTTCTTTCTACCCCCACACCCACTGGGCCCAGGCAGCCTTACCCTGACAAGCACAGAGAACAGGCTCCTACAGCCAGGGGCCAGGTTGATGTAGGGATCCAGGAGGTACTCATGGATATGGGGGTGGGGGAAGAGGGCGAGCCGGGACAGAACTGAGGTCACTTGCAGGTTCAGGCTGTATGGCTGTAGGGAATACAGTGGACAAAGCTGAGGGCTGGCAGGGGTGGTAAGCATTTTTGCACTCCCCCAGCAAGAAGCCTGGCTGGTGTGGACGTGTGCGGGGGTGGAAAGCTCACGTGATATGTGTGTGTCATGGATTCCCTGGGGCTGAGAGCCAGAACGTGTTAGGACGAGTGGAGGAGAGGCAAGATGGGGCTTCCCATCTGGGGAAAGTTGGGGTTGGGGGTGAGGGGCTGTTGTGGAGCTTAAGATCTGAAGGAGAGTTGACCCCCATGAGCAGCCCCTCCTCTCCTGAAGTACTGCAGAGGGCAGGAGCCTGGAGTTCTGTGGGCCCTTGCCCTGTTGTTGGGGCCCAGTCCTGTTGGCTACCTGATCCAAAATCCGGGACATGCGGTCAAAGAGCATTCGGAGGAAGTGACCCTCAAAGAAAGGCCTTTCAGGCTCATGCAGATCCAGGGGTGTGGGGCTCAAGGGCCAGCCCCAGGAAGTAACTCGGGAGCTGCACTCCTGGAACTGAAGTAGGGAGGGGGGAGAGCGGTCAAGAGTGGCCAGCAGACAGAGGGACACCATCCAGGAAGCATGGGCTTGGGGCTTTTGGCCAGAGTTAAGAGCCTCTGAGGCAGAAGATCATGATCAAAGGGGGAAACATAGAGTTTATCAAACCATTATTGTTGAGGGATGAGAGGTAGATGCTGGCAGAAGCCTTGACACTCACCAGTCCATACGCATCATGGACGTAGGTATCATATCCAGTTTCCTCCAGGAAAGCTGATGTCTTGGCCTCCTCAGGAACCAGGCAGAGGAAACTGAGAGATATGACCTAGGTGTGGGGGTGCTCCACTTGGGCTCGCCCTGCTCTCCCCAAGCCTAGGTCTGTAGGATATCCAGCCCCAAGGGAGCACTCTCACCTGTGTGGTTCCTGGGGGAACTCTCTCCTTGGCTGGACCCCATGAGGATCATGGCCAAAGACAGAACAAAACTCTGAGTGGCTCAGATTTCCCAACCAACTCCCCACCTGTTGACGATCTCAGTCACTGCTGTTTTGCCATCTGAATTGGTGGTAGGAACTGGGGGAGGCTTTGAGGAGGGTTGAAAACTGGAATCGAGGAAGCCATCAGTGAAGTAGGGGTCTTCCTCCAGATCTCTGTGGCCAGGACAAAGCATGGCACCCATGAATGAATGAATGTGGGTGTGCTGAGGGCAGGGGTGGGTTCTGAACGGGATAAAGCCTCCCAGAAGTGCCTGCTTTCACTTACAGGGTGTCCTCATAGTTCTCAGGCTCAGGCGAGCTCCGGGCCACATAGGGGCGGCCCTCAAGGTTGTGCAGGATCAGGCTGCGGATGATCCACTCATGCGGCTTCTGAAGCAGCTCCTCAAACAGTCGCAGCGTGGCGATGCTGATCTGGAGCAAGAAAGGGGTCAGCAGACAGCCCCTTCCCCACTCAGGGGAGACCAAGGCACCCAACACCAACCCCACTTGCAATTTCTTGCCCAGATTAAAGTCCTCTAAAGAGGTAGTTCCCTTGGCTGGGGACTAAGGCAGCAGCTTTTAGGGGGAGTAGATGGGTACTGGCCTAGGAACCAGGAAGTTTAAGTGGTACCAGCCTGTTACTAATTTAATGTGCAATACTGGGTAAGCCAGTTGTCTTCTCTGTGCTTCAGTTGTCATGTCTATGAAATGGGAATACAGGCCTCACCTACCTCATAGAGTGGCTGTCACCCTCAAACAAGCCAAGTGAACATAAAGTGTTGTAAAAAGTATGCTATCACAGAAAATTACTGTGTGACATAAAGTCATTTGGCTGTTAATTGCAGCTTTACTGTTGGGAGAAGGTTCAGTGCCCCAGAGATAGAGAAAGTTACCTGGGAAAGCTATTGAAAATGGGAAAGTGTGCCCACCAAACCCCTTTGGCAGGGGTGAGGAGTAGGATCTAGACGGAAAGGCTCAAATGGAACTGAGGCCCTTGCCCACCTTACCTCGTCAGAGAGGTGGTCACAGTGCCCAATGAGGTGGGCACAGAGGGTGTGAGGTCCATCCTCAGGGGCCTCAGCCTGCCACTCTGTGCCCAGGAGAAAAGTCACGGCCTCCTGCAGCAGAGCAGGGGAGCGGAGCTGGCGCAGCATGGCTGTCAGCAGGGCAGTGGAGGTCAGGATACTTTGCTCACACCTATAGTGAGAGAACATTTTAGCTAGGCACTAGTACCTACAGCCAGGGGGGTGAACGAACAGGGACTGTGAGAATTGGGGTGGGATAGGGTGGGGTGTATATGTGTGTGGGTGTCAAAACCCTCTTCCTTGGTTTCTTCACATCTTTGGCTAATAGCTCTCTGATCATTTCCCAACTCTAGTGAGGTCCTGGAGTCCCAAGAATGGGAGGCTTTTGTTTAGCCCGTGTGGCTCAGAGCTATGTGCCTGTACGGGTAGCAGCCTGGCAAACATTAACCAATGCAGTCCATAGATTTGATTCTGCCTAAGGAAGTTCCTGGCATTAAGGACAAGAAGGGGCTTTGTGGGGTGGGAAGTTTGATCCAGACCATGGCCACACCCAAAGGAATCGGACATACACTTACACATTCAGGAGCTGGGGCTGCAGAGTTTCCACAAATAACTTCTCAGCCACAGCCTTTGCCAAGGCATCTGCAACAACCTGGGCACCAAACAGCACGTCTCAAAAATGTTTTACAGTCATTGACCATTACTCACTGAGAAATAACTATGTCTTTGCATAGCACCTAACAGAATGGGCAAAAGGTCCCTCAGTGGTACGATATTTAAGCACTCAACTAGCGGAAAGGCTGGTGGTTCAGAACCCACCCAGTGGTACCTTGGAAGACAGGTCTGATGATCTGCTTCCAAAAGGTCACAGTAATGAAAACTCATGGAGCAGTGCTGCTCTATATACATGGGGTCACCATGAGTTGGAATCAACTTGACGACAATTAACAACAACACAGGGCCATGCTAGGCTCTTGACAGATACCCTGTTTCCAGGCACCGGCTCCACTAGGTCCTTGAGATGGGGACAATGAAGGGAGGAGTGAGAAGCTGAGGAGGGCACCTACTATATCAAGACCCCTATCTGCCACCCTCCTTACCATGTGTGCCTCCATGATGAGGTGATCACAGTAATCAAACCAGCCTAAGAAGGCAGCTAAGGCTTCCTTGCCAGGGAAGGAAGCCTCATCAGATGGGGCACTGGGTAACCTGAAGGGAGAGGAGGAAGGAAAGACTGGAGAGGGAAAGAGGAACTGCTAGGTCTTCCTCTAATCTGTTATGAGGAGCTAGGCCCTCTCCCTTCCAACCTCTTGTTTCTGAGGGTCAGTTTGATTGGGGGCTTTGTGGTCAGAGCAAAAGTGATGCCTCCCTTGAAGGTGAGAAGGCCCATGATGGTCAACCATAGCCTTGGGAAGAGGGTGGCCAGCAGAGGGCCCCATTCCACTTGGAATGTAAGAGGAGCCATCTGTCAGAAAGCTAGACAGGGCTTTTAACCACTGAAGATGCCTATCAGCCTTCCCTGGCCAAGGACCTACCTCCAGCTGATGCCTTCCAAAGCGGCAATGTCTGCAGGGTCAAGGAAGGAGGGCAGGGACTGGTACAGCTGGCAAAGGTGCTCAGTGATTGCACGGCAACAGGGGCTGCTCTGTACCAGGTAGGTGGCAGCTGCTTGGGAAGCCACGCTTACCAGGAGCAGCAGGTTCTCCTGGGCCTTCAGGGCTACACGGCTTTTCTAGGGGATAGGGATAGGACTTCAGGGACATGCATCTGAACTCCTAAACCACCTCCCAACAATTTGCTCTGTCCCTTCCGAGTCCTCCACCCATTCCGTCTCTGCAGCCAGCACCTTGCTCTTGCACAGACCGATCAGGGAGGTAATCAGGTTGCGCTCTCCAGTCCCACTGTCTGGCTCCTCGGTCTCAGCAGGCAGCTGGGCATTTGAGGCCTGGGCTCCACCAGGCTCGGGGTCCCTGTCAAGAGCCTCCCTGTGGCTGGCTGCCTTATTAGGCAGGGTGGTGGATTCTCTGGATGCCTTCTTCTTATCTATAATCTTTTTACCCTGTAAAGAAGGTCAGATGAAGCCAAGGCAGACCATGATAGAGATCATTCCCCATGATCCCCCTTGAGAATGAATGCAGGATGTGCTGGAGGTCAGGATCTCAGCACTGAGTAGGACAGGAAGCTACCTGAATGCCTCCCCGGGTGCCTGCTCCCTCCTTATGTTTCCTCAGAAGGGTCAAGGGGGCTTGCCCCTGGAGTTCTGGGCCCTCCCACTCTTGCTCCACATAGAAGTACTCACTTCCAGGATATAGGTGAGCAGGGCTGGATCCTGCTGGATCTTGGAGCAGAGGACAGTGGTGAACTGTACCTCCTCCTTTTCTGTGAGGGATCCAGGGACTGTCCCACCAAGTTGGAGGAGTTTCTGGAAGGCGAGCAGAGTAGTAACAAGAGAATGGGGTGGTAGGGAAGAGAGGTAGCCATTTTTCCCCAACCGTCACCCCCAGGCACCCCTGGCTTCTTGGCCTCTCACCTGCACAGGCCTGTGGACGTTGAGGTAATGCAAGAGGGGGTGTTGTACCTGGGCCAGAACTTTGCTGAAGAACTGGAACACCTGTTGCCGCATGCCTGGGGGGTACTGAGGGTCAGGGCACAGAGTGCCTTGTTAGAATATGGTGGCCACCTCCATGGGGCTTGCCGTTCCCCCAGAGAGCCACCTGCCCATTTCCTATCTTTAGGTCAGTGCTCCAAGGGCACCTTTCTCACAAGACCTTCTTCCCTCACTACATTATTTGAAATTGACCTCCCCTGCACTCCCTCTCCCCCTCCCCTGCTTTATTTCCTCCTGTAACTGTCATTATTAAACATCTCTATGTGAGTTAATTAGATTCTTTTGCCGCTCCCCCACTAGAATGTAAGTTCTGTAGGAGCAGGAATTTTTGTCTGTTTCAATCACTGCTGTATCCCCAGCATCTACAATAGCACCTGGCCCATCGCTGGCACTTAATGCATCCTTGTTGAATGAATGCTGACAGTGAGAAGACACTCAAGTAAATAAATAGGGGCCAGAGCCTCTGGAGCTGGTAGAATGTTTTAAGACAGCCACAGTACCCATCCCTGGTTCTGCTTCCTATCCTCAGGTTAGGACCGAGAGAAGCACAAGTAGAAGAGACTAGAATCCAGGGGTTTTCACTCCAGGCTGCTGCCAGCAATATCCTGGTGCCTCCTGGGGCCCTGTCCCCGGCAGAAGAAGGTCGTGGAGGTGCTCAGAAGCGCTCCAGGGTCTGGGCTGCTGGCCCTGCCCACCTCAGCCTTGCCCAGCGTGCACAGGGTCTCAAGGATCTTGTGCTGTAGCAGGTACTCCAGGCAGGGCCCAGCCTCGTCAGCAGCCATCTGCTGCTTCTCCTCATACACTAGGATGTCCAGCATCTGCTTCAGCCGCCAGGGGATGTCTGTTTTCTTAGCTGGGGTGTTTTCATCTAAACCGAGATTCAGGAAATAAGGGTGAGTGGGGTGAAGAGGGACCCTCCTCCCCAACAGACCCATAATCCTGCCAAAGTATAGAAGACAGAAGTTGTGTCTCAGAGATGGGGTCAAGGTCCAGGGGCCCAGAGGACTGAGGGCAACCAGGAGCATACCTATATACAGGCATAAAAACCAAAACCAAACTCACTGCCGTCGAATTGGATCCGACTCGTAGCGACGCCTCCCTGGGTTGCCGAGGCAGTATCACTATGGAAGTAGATTGCCTAGCCTTCCTTCCGAGGAGTGGCTGGTGGGTTTGAACTGCCAGCCTTCTGGGTAGCAGTCAAATGCCTTAGGTACTAAGCTACCAGAGCTCCTATATACAGGCACACCATGGCGATATTGTGGGTTGGATTCTAGACCATTGTAATAAAACAAATACTGCAATAAAGCAAGTCGAATGTTTTTGTTTTCTCAGTGCATATAAAAGTTATGTGTACACTATACTGTATTCTACTAAGTGTACAACAGCATTATGAAAAAGTTTGCAATATTGTGAGAATGATCAAAATGTGACATGGAGACATGAAGTGGGCACATGCTGTTGGAAAAATGATACCGACAGACTTGGTAGAGGCAAGATTGCCACTAACCTTCAATTTGTAAAAAATGCTGTATCTGTGAATCTCAGCTCAATAAAATGAGGTATGCCTGTACTGAGAAAACCAAGTTTGTTTCAAACAAAGACCAGGGGAAAATGGATGTTTATAGTTAATGCCTCTCTTTTTAAAAAGAGAAAATATCTTTTGGATGTGGCCAGGATACAGCCCTTAGACTGAGAATGTGTGCATGCCATCATTTTTCTCCAAATCCTGGGACAGGACAAGCTCTAATCCTACAGAAAGACACCTTGCTAGAACTGGCTGTCAGCTCTAGGCCTGAGTTAGAAGCCACGGGCTCTAGGTATCTGACATCTAATTTAGAGAGTATACCTCTGCACCTTCCTGGGAGATAACCCCCTGGAACTTGTGTATGTCCCTTTTACACTCAGGGAAGCCAATAGTCTGGTTTTTACAAAGCAAGAATGTGTGTACTGCCATCCTATTCTGCTTCTACTTGCTCTACTGTCCCAAGGCCCTGATGGCAGGAACTAGTTGATGGGGCTTTTTTGAGTCACCCAAACCAAGAGTCTCAGAGGATAAAGTATTTTGGGGAGAAGGAAAAAAGAAAAAGTTTTAGTACTTTGGGATTGGCCTTGGAGCACCCCCTAGCTTCTCTTTAAGGCATAGGATTTTGAGCAAGGCAGCTCGCCTCACCAGACTCCCAATTCCTCCAGTCCTAGGGACCATTCTGGAAGAGGACTGGATCCAAGTGAAGGTACAATCTGAGTCAGTTCTGGATTTCTCCCTTCTCTTCTGGTAGACTGAGGCTCAGTCAAGAGATCTTCAGAGTTCTTCAGTCTATGTAGTGGGTCTCAACTGGGGGTGATTGTTTCCCTTAGGGAACATCGGGCAATGTCTGGAGACATTTATGGTTGTCACCACTGAGAGTGGTACTATTGGTATCTCAGGTAGAAGTCAGAGTGGCTGCTAAACATCCTACAGTGCACAGGACAGTCTCCACAACAAAGAGGTATCTGACTCAAAATGTTAATAGTGCTAGGGATGAGAAACCCTGGTGTATGAGAACCCCACACAGTGTCTAAAGACCATTTTTTAAAATTTCTTGGGCTGGCTCAGGCTGAAAATAAAGCCTTTAGAAAAGGTGTAGGCTGGAACCAAACCTTAGTCTGAACTCCAGGACGTGGAAAGCCAGGGACACAGGATGAGGTTACTTGGCAACCAGTGTGTATCCACCAATACGAGCATATTGACTACAAAGCAGCCAGTCAGATTCTGCCTGCTCGGTGTGCAATCCTGAAGGGCCCAGATGACCCAAGACTTTGGCTCTCTCAGGTGTCAGCTCGGGAAGACTGATGTTACATATCTTGGATTTTATTCTCTTCCTACCCTGAATCTCAACTTGGGAAATGTCCTCTAAGTTGCCTAAGGAGAAAGGGGAATTTGACATCTTTCCTATCTCTTAATTAGTAAACTTTGGCACGAGTACTTGGGGACTGAAGGTGTCGACACTCTATCCTATGGAATGTGGGGGCAAGTGGAGCCCAACCCCTTAGGCTACTATTCAGAGTTAGCCCAGTGAAAACACCCAGCCTCCTGTTTCCCACTCCCACCTCAGATAGCTCCTCTCCCGGAAGGTGAGAGGCCAGTGAGGCCATTAACTAAATGGTGGGGAACAGAGGTGGCCAAGGTTCTAGGTCTGCTTCATTCCGGTCTTTTTCTCTGTCTCCGTGAGCTCAGCCCCAACTCAGAACTGCTGGGCAGTAGCAGCTCTGAGCTAGGTGGTGAAACACTGCTTACACCTTCCTCTTCACTCCATGGGGTCCCATGGCTGCAAGGCTCAAGTCTTACCTGTGCTTTCAATGTAGTAGTGAGTGATGCCCTTCCAGTGCTCCACAAAGGCCTCCAGCAGGTTAATGCTTGGCTCCCGCTGCAGAGAGAGCAGAGACAACCTATGTGGTGACCACTGGGACTCGGCATTCACTCACACACATCTCAGACTCAGTCCTAGACCCTAGGGGATGACACTCTGCTTCAGTGTATTCAGAAGGCAGTAACACATTTTCTCCAGGACACAGACACACTGTCTCTGTATCTTGCCAACAATTTCCTGGCCCCTCTCCCCTAAAGACTCCTCCCTCCCGGAAATGCTGTATTCCTGCTACACGCCAGGACTATTGTTAGCTGACGTCAAGTCAGTCCCCAATTCATGGTGACTGTGCTCAATGGAATAAAATACTACTGGTCCTGTGCCATCCACATGACTGGTTGTGGGTCAAACCACCGTGATTCATAGGGAGTAGCTTGCCAACCCTTTCTTCCTAGTCTCTTAATCTAGAAGCTCTGCTGAAACCTGTTCAGCATCACAGGAAATGCAAGCCTCCACTGACAGACCGGGCTGCACATGAGGTATACTGTCTGGGAAGTGAACCCAGGCCTCCTACATGGAAAGTCAGAGAGAATTCTACCATTGAACCACCACTGCCTCTCCTGTCCTGGAGGAGCTAAGAATTTTGGTGATGAAAACAGATAATGGCTACAATAAAGGTTATTGTCAGTTGCCATTAAGTGGATTCTGACGCGTGGCTACTCAGGTATGCAGGGAACTGCTCTGTGGGGTTTTCAAGGCTGTGATCTTTCAGATGCAGATTACTAGGCCTTTCTTCAGTGGTGCTTCTGAGTGGGTTTGAACTCTGAACCTCTGGTTAGCAGCTGCACTGCTTAACCATTTGTACCACCCAGTGACTCCTCAAGAGAGATATATTTAGGGACACAGGAGAGCCCCCTACCCTGAAAACAAAACCACAAGCATACAGATAGAAATTGGATAGAAAGACAAAACTTACATGTCCCTCTCAATCTGATAGTCTATGAAAATCTGTGTTCAAAGCCATGACAAGCTAGAATTCAGCCAGATGGGTAATGGTAGCATCATATTAGGAAAGTGCCTTACTTAAATGTGCTTTTACCTTTTGTCCAAGACTCAGGCTGTGAACCCCTATTCCTCATTAGGTTAGCTCTGGTCCTTCCTGTCCACTCCTCCACTGGCTCCTTCTATGAGCCCCAGAAAATGCTGCTTCTGCCATGGCAAACCCCTAAGCCTCTTCCTTTGCTACAACTGCTCTTTCCATCTCCATGCTCTGGCCAGAACTGGCCTTGAGTTGGTAACAACCACTGTTCCTGAAAACGTCTCCAAAAAAGGGCATTTCTTCTCTTTCTTTGCAGAGTAAACATTTGCAGGGGGGAAAACAATACAGAATCAGATACTGCCTATCTGCCTATGTTCATTTCTACCTCTGTCTTTGCTCTTTGGGCCACTCTTTGGTTCAGAAGCCCTTTACTCCTCTATCCTTGTCTCAATCCTAACAGTCCCCAGTGAGGTCCAGCTAAGGGCCACCAACTCCATAAAGCGCTCTCCAGGGTTCTGGCCCACACATACCTCTTTCTAACCTCATGCTTTACTACACCACAAAACTGAATACTTAATCCTTAATTAGCTCTTTTTTTTTTGAGTGCCTATATTGGGAGCTCTGGTAGCATAGTGCGTAAGGCACTTGACTGCTAACCAGAAGGCTGGCGGTTCAAACCCACCAGCCACTCCTCGGAAGGAAGATGGGGCAATCTATTTCTGTAGTGATACTGCCTCAGAAACCCAAGGAGGGGTCGCTGAGTCGGGTCCGACTCGACGGTAAATAACAACAACAACAACTATGTGCAAGACACAGCTAGATGCCTCAAGCAACCTTCCAGTTAGCAGCCAAAGAATGACTAAGACTAAGTCCTCAAAATATGTACAGTGGAAGAGATGAGAATATAAAAGGTTACCAAGTAATAAACTACAAGACAATATTGTGATACCACAGGAGAGGTGAAAAGTGACCTCTTGGGGAAAGAGGGGTCACTTCTAACAAGCTGGAACAGGGATGGTTCCACTGAGGTAAATTTCAACAATTAGAAATGAAGGAAAGGCATTTCCTACAGGAGGAACTCTGCAGAGTGTATTTGGGGAAAGGTTGGCTTGATGAGCAAGCAGAGCCCTGAATGCCAAGCTAAGAAGTCTGGATTCCTCCCACCCCCTGCAGGCACTTCAGTGACATCTGAGTGGTATTTTAAGAAGATGTGTCTGGCAGTCATGTGTAGGACAGGACACAAAGGCAGGAAGAGTGCTTAGAAGGCTATTACAATGTGGGAAGAAGCATTAACACTAAACGAGATACCTTGAAACACTCTGCTCTCTTGGCTGCCCAGGCAATCTTGTCTTCTCTCAAAGTAAGGTTGTAGGGTCTCTGACCCTTATGGAAGTGGCACCTCCTGGTCATCCCATACATACTATTCATATGGAGTAGATGCATCTCATCACACTCTGTCCACATTTCCCTGTCTTTTGGAAAGCCATCTGACCCTTGACCAGCACTATAATTATCTCCCAATTTCTGTGATGGGGTCTCATCTAGCTTCAGAATTAATTTATAGTTGCTAAAGCCTTCGTTTTTGTTGTTGTTATCTGCCATCGAGTCATAGCGACCCCTCCTTGGGTTTCCGAGGCAGCATCACTACAGAAGTGGGTTGCCCAACCTTCCTTCCGACTCATAGCAACCACCATTGGGTTTCCAAGGCTGTAAATCTTTATGAAACAGAATGCATTATGTTTCTTCTACAGAGTGGCTGGTGAGTTTGAACTGCCAACCTTCCAGTTAGCAGCCAAATGCCTTAACCCTATATATCATAGCTCCTTAAAGAGAAGAAAGGACAGGGATATTTACCTGAATCTGTTACTTAGTACTATAACTCCAGACCAAATAAACTTACTTCTTTAAAGATAGTATTATTATTTTTAAAATGGTAATATTTTTTAAAAGACAACAGAATTTTAAAACTAGAATGAATGCTATTCTATTTGGTCAAAAGAGGGCAAGAAGGAGCACTCCTCTTTGATAAAGAATTAACTGGTTTGCCAGAGTGAAACATTAAGCCTATGCCCAACTCAGGGAAAGACCTAGATCTGAGATTG